GGATCTTTCAGAAAATAAAGCCTTTTCCGAAAGATCCCTTATCCCTTATTTTAAGAGGGATAAGGGATCTTTCGGAAAAGGCTTTATTTTCCAAAAGATCCGCATCTAGACTGGCGCTTTTTTCCGGCAAAGCTCTGAGCTGAAAAAAAGTGGCAGCCATTTTTATGCTAATGAAGCGGGGGAGATTTAAATCCCCGCTTCATTAGCAATTGCGATACGTCTAATTTGCATCCCTTTTATGGAAAAGGGATGCAGTCTAGACGTAGCCAGGGAGTACACATTTCACAATGTAATATGTCAAGGATATGCCTGTGTATTATCCCCTAATTTGGTTCAGGAAACAGAAAAGATTACAAACACCAGAGAACTGGTAATGGAGCTTGCTGCATTTACTAAATGAGACATTGTATGTAGTGAAGATTACTTTCTCATACCCACATAACCTCCTCCCACTTTTTGTTTACAACCAATCAGTTTCCCTTCCCTATATTAAATAAGCATAGTGAACAGGGGAGAAAACTATTCCCACAACCTGTAAATCACTGCACCATAAATTACAACAAATAATCCAACTCTTTTCTTTTAATTTTATTCTTTATGTTCATGTACATGGAGTTTAGTTTATAGAAGCTTGTTGAAGGGGCAACAAGGGAAAAGAGACTAGGGAGGTGGATGGAGGAAATGAAGCAGGGCAAGTTAGAAGACTGGGGGAAGAAGGGGTGGAGCAAGCAGGAGGAGGGTGAGAGAGAGGGTAATGGGGAGGCCAGAAATCACTGTACGTATACTTCAGCAACCTACATTGGTCTCATCTGCTCTGTTATTCCATGGGGGGGGGGAGGGCACAACTATTTGCTCAGTCCTGTGCAACTTTCCATGACATCTTGCAGGGGGGAGAACTGTCTCTAAGACTTCTACTCCAAGCTGCTAGGCTTTGAGGGCCTCGAGCAGTAGGGTATGGTGATCTAGCAGGATCTCCCATGGGCACTAATTTTAGAAAGTGGCATTAGAACCCCCTTATTTCTACAGAGCAAGCAAAAGTGAACCATCCCCGAGTGATCTCGTTGATGTGTATCAGTACTTGGTTACACATGGGCCTTGTATAATAACCAACAAAGAGCTCATTTGTGTTGATGTTAATTTAGGGATGCTGTCATGTTCCATTAATTTCTCAAGACAAACGCAGAAGCAAAGACACTTAATATTGTTAGTATGCAATTTAAATTTACCCTTTCCACAGTCACCTCTTTCCCATGATATCAATTTGGAATAAGTTGATTCCTTACCCCTCATGTTGGAGTGATTCACATTTAGCCATTGAGAATTGATATACATGTCTCATAAGTTAATAAAGTATCAGCTTGAAGCAGGATAGAGAGCCTAAATAAGTGAGTCACAGTAAATGGATAAGCTCATAAATACAGGAAGGGCCAACAATTGGGAAGTAAAGTTGATATAAAACAAAACAGGTGCTAAATTCACTGTGGGCTATCAAAAAAACCCTGTTGCTTGTGGTTTTTGGAACAGATACTTTCTTACCAACCTGGACATGCAACTGAACTGGAAACTTTATAAAATATTGGTGCACCCAGTGCTTGGAAAATTTCCTTGCTCTTCTAAGCTGATCTTTGTGCAACCACATCTTTTGCAGTCTTGAAAAACCATCATCTCATTTTGTGGCATCCTCCCAAATAGTTATTTTTTCCACAAGTTCGCTGCATTATGTCTTCTTTTACAGTAAATCTGATACATCTGACAATCAGTGCATGAGGTTTTGCATCTGAGGCTTACTTAAGAGCCAAGGT